GGTTGGTTTTGTTTCGTTTTTTCTTTCATTTATTTAAATGTATTGAATTAATCGGGTAGATGTATATCCAGGATTTGTCTGCTGGGACGTTGCATTCCTCTTTTCCCAGGTTGGCCCTGACAATAAGGTTGCTTCCAAAATGTTAGTTTAGTAAGAGGTTTACCGCGCCCGCTAATGCTTAGGGTCCTAATATGAGCGCGCGAAACACAAGTTGATTGCATTTACAACAATTCGCAGCACGGCTTGGTATAAGTCAATGATTCTATTAAAAAGTTAAAAATATGTGGTAAAATGTTAAATGTGACCCATCGTGGTGAAATCAGGCGCTCGTCAAAATAATGAAATGGAAGAAAAGGGCATGTTTCCATCAGTTATGCAATTTTTATCAAAATTTTGTTTTTTGGCTAAACACCTTTTATGTTGATATAAAAATACATTTCCATGTGAATTTTACTGAAATCTTTTTTAAAGCTTCACAGTATGTAATTTTCAGTTTTCAAAGACTCATAGGCTATTGAAGTTACCAAACTTTGGCGGCCATTTTCTCTTTAGTTTAACAACTGAAAACAGGCTACCTCACCTTCTTCAATCGCATATATCTTGACGTCTACTCAAGCTAGATGGATATTTTTTTCATAGAAAGCAAGACAAATGAATAAGCTTTTAGATGATTTCGATAACTCCACTTGCCCAAAAATTGACGAGAGCCTGATTCCACCACGTCTTGACACAAATCTAAAAATGACAGTTTACTTTAGATTAAAACAACAGTATATCTTAAGGTTCAATGGCCTTTATAATAATATCGAGAATTCTGTTGGGATCTACGACGGAGAACAGATCTTGCAAATTTTGGCATGTAAAATATTTCCTTCGGGTCTCTCCAAAGTCTGGACATTCTATTAAGATGTGCCTAATGGTGAAATTATTGTCGCATAAGACACAGAAAGGCTTTTCATTTTCCTGAAGGGGGTGTTTAGGTGTTAGAGCCGTGTGTCCGATGCGTAATCAAGTAAAAATGACTTTGTCTCTTCTGGTTTGGTTTGGTTTTGTAAAGTGTTTTACGGCGCTCGCAACTGCATAAGGTCATATGAGCGTGCGGGACACACCTAATATTTTCAGTTG